TAAAAGTATTTCTTATTATAACATCACAGGCAGCTCAAACATCAGAAATTGGAGCCCATGTTTAATTTTTATAAACATTTATTGCAGTGTAAAGTATGTTGTCATTGCTAAATTTACATCTGATGGAGGCAGCTATGTTAATGAATTTAGGGTGAATATGATAGATGTACTGCAAAGCTTAAATGTAGAGGCTGCTGAAAGCCACTTTAAGTTTGAGTCATCCATATATTTAGTGATGTGATAGATGCCAAGGTTAATTTGCAATAAATCCATTAGCAGTCATGCCACTGATGTGTGAATGCTTGCCATGTACAAACGTGCATATGTAATAAAGTCACTTTCCTCTTCATGTCGATAAAACCTTGGAACTGTGTTTAAGATGTACAGATATTGCACATTCACTTATGGAATAAAATAGAACACATTTCTGTAAAGATATTAAAATGGAGCTAGTTTTCAGCCCATTTTCTGTAGATTTACTCCTTTATTTAACAATCAAGTGAAGTATTTTGCCATGCAGTAAAAATCTTGCCATGTCAGATGTTTTATGGTGATGAATTAATACTTTTTTTTTTCCCCACAAAAGCTCCCTTGCGATAAAATTTAATATGGTTGCCATGGTCAATGATTAGTGAATGTAAATAATAATATTATAGATTTATGTCAATAAAAGTGTTAATCCAAAGAATGAAATACTAAAAAGTTTAGTAAAAACTGTTTTGGGTTGGGCGCCAATGGCTCACGTATGTAATACTAGCAACTCAGCAGGCAGAGATCAGGAGGATAACGGTTCAAAGCCATCCCTGTCAAACAGTTCTGCGAGACCTTATCCTGAAAAAGCCCTTTACAAAAAAGGGCTGGTGGAGTGACTCAAGGTGTAGGGCCCTGAGTTCAAATCCCAGTACCGCAAAAAAAAAAAAAAACAACTGTGATCAGGGAACATCCTTTTATAAAAGGTATTTGATTGAACATAACTTTGAAATAAAGCCCATTTTTATGATGCACACACATAACACACACACACACACAAATCCATCTATTCTCCCTATGCTTTATTGGGTACACAATGTTAGGAACTGGAGTAAGTGTCACTATGCAATATCTCATTTAATCCTGGCAGACATTCTATAAGACAGTGTTGCTATTTAAAATAGTTTCTTATTTTTCAGATAGAAAATACAAAACTTATAGTAAATCACTTTGATGGAGTCATATAGGTAGTAAATAATACAGTTAGAATATTAAACCAAGCCTCTCTAAGCTCTGAGACCAGAGCTTACAGTCTGAATTTCCAAGTACCTCTGCTATGTAAGACCATCATGTTTCTGTTTGTTTTGCTGAAGCCTAAAGAGCCAGAAAGTCACTGTATGGAGGAAAGATTAGCTAGCAGCATGCTTGTTACCATGTATTGAAAAGGGAGAACTCAGGAGGTAGAGATCAGGAGGATAGTAGTTCCAGGACAGCCCAGGCAAAAAGTTTATGGCATTCCACCTAAACCAACAAGTTGGTTTTGGTGGTACAAGCCTATAGTCCCAGCTATGTGGGAGGAGTAAGTAGGTGGATCATTGTCCAGACCAGCTCTAGGCAAAAATGTCCCTATACAAAAAATAACTAAAGCAAAAAGAGGTCGAGATGGCAGAAGTGGTAAATACCTCCCTAGTAAGCATGTGGCACAGAGTTCAAATCTCAGTAAAAAATATAAAGGCAAAATACATGATGAAATAAAAATTTGAGCAATGATATTTGTATTATCACGTTTATCTTACCAAAAATATAGATCTTTATATTATTATCTCAAGTTATATAACTGAGCAATAATTCCAAACGGTGGGGAAGTATAATCTAACTAAGTTAATTTACATATATTAAATACTCTGTCAGTTAACATGTATATGTTATGGTATTTTTTTGTTTTAAAGCATTGTGATGTGAAAGGAATATGTTAGATCATGAGGTACAAATATCATTTTATGAATGTGAGACATTAGAACATAATAGTTGACTTTGATAAGTTCAGATGACATAGCCAATTAACTTTTTCTTTACTGTCTTGTTATAACAAAAAATACTTCTATTATATATGTACATAATAGAACAGGAGCAGGAGCAGGATTTTATTCCTGCTGCTTTCCCATGTAACCAACTACGTGACATTAGATAACATGTCAATCCTTATAACTAAATCCCCTCAAATATAGCATATGAATAATATTTTCCTACTTTTTACATAAATATAGAAGAAATGAAAACATAGTCATGAAAGTGATTTTTAAAGTTAAAAATCTCTGTGCAATTTAAGCTAATAATTATTTACAATATTGCTTCACTTTTGTGGTTCTGATATAAATATCAGATTTCTTATATATATTTTGTTTTACATTTTTAAGTAATAGCTCTAGTTTTGAACATTTTTCTTATTTCACAAGAAATACCTAGTCATTAGAAAACAAAGTTAATTAAAAGGAGAAAAATACATCACTAAGTACCAGCACTCAGAGGTAACCACTACATTCTTCCTTTAAAGGAATCTCAACTTTTATCTCTTCTTCCATTTTTATTGATATATAGTTTACTAAGATGATTCATAGTTATCAGCAAAATGCCAATCATAAATATTTACCAAACTGGGCGCCAGTGGCTATGCCTATAATCCTAGGTATTCAAGTGGCACAGATCAGGAGGATCAAGGTTTGAAGCCAGCCTAGGCAAATAGTTCTCAAGACCCTATCTCAAAAAACCCTATCACAAAATTGGGCTGGTGGAGTGGCTCAATGTGAAGACCCTGAGTTCAAGCGCCAGTACCATAAAAAAAATTTACCAAATATTACTTGCTTATTAATTTGGTAAAAAAGCTTCTGATGATGTAGAATGTAAGAGGGTCTGGAAACCTCTGCCATTTCTGATACACATTCTATATGTTCTAAATTTTATTTATTTGTACACTAACTGATACCTTTGAAATATAACTTACCTTTTCTCATGTGAGAGAAAGGAACTATTTTCATGCATTGGCATCCTTCCAAAAATTAAGAGAGAAGAGCACATCTTCTATACCAGCTTATTTCAGCAACATCCTGGTTTATTACTTTTACATTCAGTCATCCTCTGAAATGTTTCTTTGGGTAGGTTTACATACTAAGGAATTTTCAAGGGTCTCTGGAAATAAATGTCTGAGATAGAAAACAAAGATTGTCTGTTTCCCCAAAAGAGCACAAAATCAATAAGCTGGTAATTAAATGCATACAAATGTGGCAGCAAGTCAACTTCACTTAATTGTCAAGTTGCTAATCATAGAAGTTTGATGTGTAGGTATTTTTAGAACATATTGCTGTTCATACAACCTTTACACATAAGTGTTAATTACTCTTGGTATAAACTTTTTTCCTATAAAAACTGGATATTTTGTGGCCTAATTTGTAGTATTGCTTTTCTTCTCATGTTTGGCAAATATAGTTGTATTAGGGTTCTCCAGAGAAACAGAACCAATGTGCAATATCCAGTCTACCTATGTAATCATGTACATACATGCACTGCCTCTTGTAAGGGGCCCAGGAAGCCTGCAGTATAATTTGAAGGCCTGAGAATTAAAGAGTCAATAGTGTAGATTACATTCTGGGTCGAAGGCTTGAGAATCAGGATCCCTGAATGCAGGAGAAAAATGATGTACTAACTTAATTAACCAGGCAAAAAAAGAATGAAAAATCCAACCTTCCTCCATGTTTTGTTCTATTCAGGCTCTCAATGGATTGAATGATGGTCTTTCTCATTGGATGAGGCAATCTGGTTTACTCAGCCCAGTGAGTCAAATATTATTCCCTTCCACAAACACCCTCACAGTAGAACCCAGAAATAATATTTAACTGGATATTTGGTCAAACCCATGGTCTAATCAAATTGACATCAAATTATTCATCACATTAGGTATACAATAAAATTCACTGGCATTCTTTGTTATTGGAAAGCTATCCTCCCTCTATAAATTTTCCCTAAGAGCTGTTCCTGGACTAATTAAACAAACATTTCTGTAGTCACTTTTAGTATGGAGGAAGCTCTCTTTTCCCTTCTCTATGAAATAAATCTTTGCATATCTCTTCAAAATATTCTGACTCAAGGAATTCATTTTATTGTATTCTCTGAGAGAGATGCTAGTGGAGCAGTGAGGTAGGACTTCAGGGCATTGGATGCTGAGTAAATTTGTCTGAAACAAAACTCTTCAAGAAGGATGGGACGATCTACTGGAATCACTGCCATAAGGTCAAATTTGTATACTCACAGAATGAGACGATGTCATTATTTTCAGTGCTGTCAGACTAGTATTCATTTTGAGGAGGACGGGAGTGAAGACAGCGAATGTTTTTATGATGCGGAATAGTTTGACAGCCAGTGGACGTTGCCTGTAAACTAAGACCTGACTTCTATGGATGGGATGTGTTATATGTATTTTCCTGACATAGCTACTGGGGCTTACACCTGTTTCTCCATGAGTTATCATCTGTCACATGTGAACAAACCCTTTCCTCATGCAAGTTTGATTGGTGGCAGCATCATTTGTTGTGATGTGTTCCACTGTGCTGTGTGACCCTGTCACATCTACATGTAGTTTTTGTTTCAAAAACAAGTTGATATATGTTTCTGCTGCTTTTTGGAAGCCTCCAGTCAGTTTCCTACTAAACCATTTCTTAAAAACTGGCAGTAAGAAATAAAACCTCATTACATGCCATGCTTGTCCAACTCAAGGGAAAAAGCCTCCTGTAATCTACTATTTGTTCTCAAACACCTGCTGGTAAATTTAATGAGTGTATTAAACACTGAGCTGCTTCTCTGTTTCTCTTAAGATAACTCTGCCCTCCATCTCAAGCAGGTGTGATTGAAATCAGTTATTTGCTTTACTACAGTTTTGTAGGTACAGTCAACATTTTACTGATATGTCAACACGACAAGCATCTGAAACTTTGGACTTGATGTAGTGGGACTAACTGATTTTTGCTTTTGTTTCACAGCTGGGACAACATACATCTTTAGCAAAGGTGGTGGACAGATCACATACAAGTGGCCTCCAAATGACCGGCCAAGTACACGAGCAGACAGACTGGCCATAGGGTTTAGCACAGTTCAGAAAGAAGCTGTATTGGTGCGAGTGGACAGTTCTTCAGGCCTGGGTGACTACCTAGAACTGCATATAGTAAGTACTTTTTAAATAAGGCTCAGCATTTACTTTTGATATTATATTTGCTGTTAACTATTTTGTATATAATTTATAATTTTACTTCTTGGATGTTTTCTTTCCCCAGGAACCAGTTACTTGTTATAGAAAATATGACTACTATGTACAGATATGAAACCTTAGACCCATTATTATTAGTAACATGTACTTTACAGTAGAAAAAAGTTATTTTTCTGAACATGAATTTCTCTCAATTTTGTGTTTATAAGGACTTTTTTTTTGGAGTGATTTTAATGCCTGTAAGCGGATTTGCCAATTTCACAAATTAAGTTATCTCTCAGTAGATATTATACCATCTGGCTAGATGCAGGAGGTTGTAATACTGATGACACCCAAAGATCTGGATTCAGTGTTCTTATTTCTTTTCTCTTAAGAGAGAAAAATTGCCTAATGCTACATGAAGTGGAAGGAAGGAGAGGAAACTTTAAGGATATTTGCAGATATGATGGAAAATGGCAAAAATGTTGTTTTTAGGTCATTTTGTAAATGTTTTGATATGTGTCAGGAAAATACTATGAATTCTTGCAATTTTTGGCCTTAGGTCATTCCTTTTATTCTAAGATTCAAAGCACCCACAATAATTTACTCATCACATAGTAAAAGGTAAGTATAGCTCAGCAGTGAGAAGTTTTCTTGTCTTTTTTAAGTTGCTACAATTGACATTATAGTGCAGGAGTTCCTCTTTCTGTTGCTGCATTCAAAGTCACTAATGAGTTCGGTTGCATTACTTGCAAAAACACACCATGTTTCATTGCTAAGAGATATTAATATTTTACCAATATTCCAAAATAATAAACATTCTCAAAACTCTAGGGCTGGGAGTACAGATTAGTGGAAGAGTGCCTGTCCAACCTGCCTGTCCAAGGCCCCACTTTTAAACTTTAGCACCATTAAAAACCTAGCAAGATCTCTAAAGGGTTCTTATTACTTTTCTTCCCCTTTTCTTTCTTTCTTTTGGTCATATTAGGGTTTGAACTCAGGGTCTCATACTTGCTTGACACTTGAGCCTTAACCCCCTGTCCCTTTTGCTCTAGTTACTTTTTAAATAGAACCTTGTGTTTTCTGCCCAGGTCCAGGTTTGGCTGGTATCCTCCTACTTATGCACCCCGGATAGCTGGAATTACAGGTGTGAACCAGCACATCCAGCTTTTTATTGCGATTAGTCTCACTGACTTTTTGCCTGGGCTGGCCTTGTGTTGTGATCCTCCCAGTCTCTGCCTCCCAAGTAGGTGGGATTACAGGTGTGAATCACTCTGCCCAACCTCAACTTTTTTTCATCATCTGAAGTCAGAAGCACTTAATTCTCTCTATCCTCTATTTCATACTTGAGTTTAGTTTATCTCCTCTGCATCTTGTGATTCTGTAAGTTTGATTTGTTTTGTTTTTGTTTGTCCCTACAAGTTCTCCCTTTAATAGACTTAGGCCTCACAGGACATTTGATTAGGTCATCATGTTCTTTACTTCTCAAAACTGGCTTTTAGACACTAAATAATTAAGAAAACCCATAAACACCAAAATATATTAAAAGACTTCTACAAGGTTTTAATTCTCAAAGATGTAACTAATTTATTTTCTTAAACTTGCTTTTACATTAGGCTTTGGAATTTCCAATAAGCTGAATAGGGGTATACACTGACCACAAAGACTGAATTAATTGCTAATCTTGAAAAAATAAAAACATAAACAGAAAACAACACTCCAGCACAACCGTTACTGAACCATCATAAGTTTTCCATTCAAAATGTAGTTGTCAAAGTGGGAACTCTGGGATAGTAATTTCTGCTGCCTTTCAGCAACCATCTAACAATCAAAAATTGAAAGCATTTGGATGTTTATGGCATCATAAATAAATGATCAGTTCAGATAAACTTAACTATTATAGTAAGGAATCTTGCTGTTAAGAGAAATTTCCTCTTTCAAAATATATTTGCTCAGTTATGATTTAAGAGCATTGCTACTTCAAAAAATAAATAAATAAAAAGAAAAAGAAACAAGAGCTTTTTACCTTCTGAAAGAAATTACTTATTGATCCATAACCAATTACACTTTTAGCCTGAGAAAAGGTTCTACAATGATCGCTCTCCAGTCATAAGGGGCTATGTTATTAAATTACTCAAACTACTGTTGTTTGTTTTACGGTCAGAGGGTTTTGGTCTATAATAATGGACATTTCTTTCCAATTTTGACCAAATGTGGGCTTAGTGTCCTTTCATAAGTAAAGAATTTGCTTTCTGGGTATCTGCACAAACTCAGTCCTTTCCACGGCTCCTTTATTGGCCATGGATTTCCAATAGCTGCCCTGTGATGCCTCCTTTCTGGGTCCCCTCTCTTGGCCTTGCCTGGCCATTCACTTTGTTTCCAGACCTTTTTTCCACACACCCTTTATCTTGGATTTTAAATCTTCAAATTCTCCCTTGATCCTAGTGCCTGTCCTTAACTGGGAAATGGATTTTAGTTCTTTGGGATTACTAAATACTGTTTGTCCTACTCACTCTTGTATCAATTGCTAGGACTCAGTGTTAGTTTAAATCTGAACAAGTAAAATCTTTCTTCCTCCCCTTACTTCCATTGCCTAGGAGAGGTGTTCATCCATTAGTGACTCACCAAGTCACTTACACGGATACAAGTCACTTTACATGTTCCAACATACAAAAAAAAATCAAAACTGACACAAGGCCAGTTTTTTGTTTGTTTGTTTACCTCTAATTCTTTATTATAACTTTGGGTACATGAAAAAAAGAGAAAGGAATTTCAGATTAAAAGAAAATAAGTAAAGAAGTCAGGGAAGGAAAAGGAAGGAAAGGGAAGGGAAGAAGGAAAAGGAAAGGAAGTAAAGATATATGTTGATACCTCTGAGAGAAGCAGGTTTGAGAATATTAAAAGACTGTTTTATCAAATTACTTATATTTCATTGAAATCCATCCTAATTTTCTAAAATAAATTTTTCTACTTTATGAAGATTGGAAATTTAAAAGTAAAACAAGATTTTCAGAACTTTAGATTATTACTCTTGTTTGATTTTGATTTGTGAATATAACATAAAAATTAAATGGATTGATATAATAAGTGACTATATATAAAAGTTAGATATTTTGGTTATTCATTAAATTATCAGGAAAATTTCTGTAAGCCTTCAAGTTAGCAAAGTAGAAACTGTGCAACCATCTCATTTAAATATCTTATTAGCCTCTTTAATTGATAGATTGAGGCAATAAACAGAAATATTGATTGTATCCATTAAAAGATGCTCCATTCTTGCTGAAATATATAATGCTATTTCAATTAGATAACTTTAAAATCTGATTGGCATATAATTTCAATGAAGATTTGAATATTTGACATGGCTTATCATCCCATTTTTCAGAGTGATCAAGTTGGATTTCACTTGAAAATATAAACACATTTAAATTTTGATTAACTGTGCTCTTAAAGCTATAACAACCTGGAATAAAATGGATATTGAATCAGGTGGACTAGTTTTGATACACAGGTTTTTTTGTTATACTAATATAAATGCTATCATTGTTAAGCTCAATGTCATATGATATTTCTTTTGAAATTTTAAGGTTTTATGAAGAGATGAGGGGAATGATAAAGACATGAGATAAGGAACAATGAATTAATATAACACCGAAAATTTGAGTGTTCAATAAGTGTTTTCTGAAAGAATAAGCTATCTAATTAATTAAATACTGAAAATATTGAAGCTTCTTTTCAATAGTGAAAATAAAGTAACCGACACAATTTGGTTCCTATATAATTCTGAGAAAGTCATCTCATCACTTCTTGTTGACAATATACAAAAAGTGTAACACTCATTATTGATGTCATTTCATTGAAATTATATATTTTAATTGATGTTGTTTTCATAAATCTTCAACTAATAATTGATTATTGTAGTTGGTTGTTTAAAAAAAGTTTATTGTGAAAATTTTTGTTAGATGATTATCTGTCCTTAATAGTTACCAAGTTTATTGTAGACCATTTTATAATGAATTGTTCTTTAGTTATTTCACAATTATTAATGATAAATAATTATTTAGTTATTTCAACAATTATTTAATGAATTGTTCTTAAGTTATTACTTCCAAATAGAGATAAACTTTATGATGGCAGAAAACATGTTTATCATAATAATGATAAGCTGGGCACTGGTGGCTCATGCCTGTAATCCTAGCTACTCAGGAGGCAGCGATCAGGAGGATCATGGTTTGAAGCCAGCTCAGGCAAATAGTTCACGAGACTCTACCTCAGAAAGAAACCCATCACAAAAATAGGGCTGGTGGAGTGACTCAAGGTGAAGGCCCTGAGGTCAAACCCTAGTACCACAGTTATAATAATAATAATTATTATTAACAAGAAAAGTAATTTAGAAATTTAGCTTTGTATCATTTCTTTCAGTGCATGCTAGAAGCCTCATGAGTAATAATTATTGTGTGTGTACCTAATGTGGCCCAGTAATGTGGCCCAGGTTTGTGTTAGGCTCTGTGGCTATAAATGGGTTGGCTGCTTTGTACAAGCCTCAGGAAGTATTAGTTGCAGAAATTGAGGAAAAACTCAGCTGACACTGTCATCATCAGACAGCTTAGAGTGCCTATATTAACATTTTGTCCCAAACTGACTAATATTGCCTGGTATATCTCTGTCTTGGCATTTCTTCACATTTCCTTCTTGCAGTTCTAAATTTATTATTTACATACCATTTGTAAGAATAATAATAGACAAATCATGCATTTTTAAGATAAACTATATAGAGCGGCTTGTAAATTGTAAAGTGTTTTACTGTCAACATCTATATTAGTGATGTTGATTCAATCAATATTGAAAGAAACAGTTTCTTAGAAGCAATCAGCAAAAAATTAAGTTAAATTTTATTTTATCAGCCATATCATGGAATTTTATCAATGCTGTCACTTCTATAAAAACTTCTCTTATATAATAGTCTAGTGATGTTAATT